AAATGTAAATTTTCAGTTGCCACGGACTCTTAAGCTAAGAAAATAACAAATCTTTGGAGGCCATTTTCTCACTAATTTTACCTGTGAAAACAGGTGACCCCCACCTCCTTCATTCGCAAATATCTTGACTTGTATTCAAGATAAATGGATATTGTTTTCATCCAAATAAAGACAAGTGAACAAGCTTTAAGATGATACCAATAACTCAATATGCCCAAAAATTGAGGAGAGCGTGATCCCACCATGCTGCCTCACAGTTTATCTTGTCAGAACAGATGTTGATGGAAATTTTTCAGCAGTGAAGGGGTTAAAAAGCAAAAACCAAGCTGCTCTACAAACTATGGAGACAACACGTCTCTTCCATCGGGTATCTCCGTGGGTCTGTTGGAATGCTGTTCTCCTTTTACTCGGACAGTCTTCACGGTCAATGACCCGACTTGTGTGGCAATGTGGTCATTAAGCATTTACGACCAGTCACACTGACTATAGGCCTATCTACCATTCAGTACGTCAGTCAGTAATGGACTTCAGTTGGTCGCTTTTAAGGACATATGCGGCCTAACTCAGATTTCGGGAGTTTCCAGAAATCTTGACCTACACCAAAAGTGGGCAGTGCCCTACCTATAGGAGACGTTTGGTTTTGATTGGTGTGTATATATTTGTTTGGTTATTGACAAAATTCTCTTTGTATTTTTAAAGAAACTGAACAAGGGGCAAAAACTTTACCTTCGATTTTCTCAAAACTGCATTTTTCGGGACAGCCCCCTTGTGCTTAAAAGCGACCATTTATCCTGTGTGGCTATCACCCTTGCTCACAAACTCCAGCCCCGGTCAGTTCAGGGTCAGTTCACGATCAATTAAAACCCAAGACAATAAATCAGAATTTGGCTTCAGTTTGCAGCACCTCGTAGATCAAACTAAGACAGTTAAGATTCCCTGAGCTCAGTTTCTTCTACACTGATCTGTCTCGTTGTCTTAGATTTAGTAATACGGGGTGCTCACTACGGCTGGATCAGGCCGATCGTCCAACCCGGTCGCCTGAAACTGACAACAAACACGTTTGTTTTTTAGGCGACCGTGTCTGGCGATCGGTCCGATCGGTCCGATCGGCCGATCTCATGCGTAGTGGGCACCCCGTTTTTGAGCTTTAAGGTACTTGCAACACAATTAGGTCATAATACAAGTGCTGAAGATTAGAGGTGTTACAAGAGAGTAACATACACACACAAAAGGATGAGAGATAAGGGCGATAGATGTTTGAAAGGAAAGAAGGAGCAAACCACACCAGAGCACCCGCCAAACACCCATACCTTGTCCTCTTACATAGCACCTACTAGACACTGAAGGTTTCCTATCTACCCGTTCAAGACACACAAGCTCAAATGAAATCCGTTTAGAACCCCC